TATATATATATATACAGTATATATGTATATATATATATATTACACATATATATACTGTATGTATATGTAGGTATACAGCGTGTAGATAGATAGATAGATAGATAGATAGATAATACGTAGAAGTGTGCAGGGACATGCAATGTAAATGTAATACCGATTTCACTAATATAACCACATAGTGCTACATGTGTTCTATACTACTTGATAAATCATACAATAAGACTTATAATTTAAATCTTATGGTATGATTTACATGTAGTACAGAACATGGATATATTAGTAAAATTTGTATTGCAATTACTGTACATAGCATATCACCAAACACATGGACTGAATAATCTTTGCAGGAAGTGTTTAGTGAAATGCCTGTAAATGCAACACAATCCAGGTTGTTCCTCCCCAGTCCTGCTCCCAGACAGTACATGGACAGTACATGTGTGCAAGTCCTAAGATGTACTGCCCATGTACAGCTAAAGACGTAAATGCATATACAGATAATGAATGTTAACATTTTTTTTCGTTTCAGAATTACCTTCAAAGTTGTGCTGTCTGGCTGTACCCACCCCCTCCTTCTCCGTGTCTGCCGGATCTCTGTGACAGGCATCGGGGGAGGAGATCACAGCAGGAGACACGCACGGACGGCTGGCCGGTCTCTTCACAGAGGCCGGCTGCTACAGAGGATGAACGGCCGTTCTCTCTCCCTACGTGCACTGCTGCAGCTCTTTCTCTGTCTGCTGCTGGCCCCCAGCAAGGGAAAAGGGAAGCTGTTGTGGGCCCCTGTAAATTATAGGGCCCGGGGCACCTGACCCATTTGCCCCACGGTAAAGACGACATATTTCACTATAACAAAATAGCTAATGAAGATATTACACAAGCAAGACTTCATATGTTAACACTTGCATAGTAAGCTAGCATGTGCTTTATTTCTCACTTAAAAAAAATAATGAACAGGTAAATAATGTTCATACCCTCCCCCCATTCTGCTGTACAAGAATTGAATGCCCCGCATGCATTCCACATGGAACATATGCAGGATGCATACAGAATTTGCCTTCCCTTTAAAATGTAATTACTTTCAGAACAGATAGAGTTCAGCTAAATAATATAAACATGTGAAGTTTAAGCAGTTATTTTTATCTATATTGGTGATAATGGTAAAAACTTGAATTATGTCAAAACCCAGGGAGAAGTCTGTCATGGCATAATTAAACATAATGCCTCCCTACCTGTTCCCAGTACACTGGAGACACTCAAGTCTCTGTTCTCATGTACACAAGTTTCTCCTTTCATTAAATAAGAATGGTGATAGGAGGAAATAGGGGTGTGGACCTCAGAGAAACTTGTTTTTGCCAATTTTGGGAGTGCTCTATATAAGATAAGACTCTCACTTCATGGAAGGAATGACCCTCTTAAATAGATTATTGTCAAGAGATTCAGAAAAGCAAAGCACACATTTTGCTCATGTCTTTTTCTTTTCAGTTATCATAACCTCTTTTGTATAATATATTATCCTTACCAATTACAGTTCTGTTATCTTTGTAAAAAAATGTTTCATCAAATATGATAATGTATTTTTTCAGTTTAATGCTTGTCAGATTACTGTGTGTATTCAGAAAAAAATGTTGCCTGTTACGTAAAAAAGCCTTAAAAATGTATCTGGTTTGTGAACCTTAGATGATTTATCTATAATTGGTTAGCGGTTCTGTTTTGCAGTACTGAAGTCCCTGGTTCGAATGAATACAGGTTCGGCCAGGACACTGTCTGCATGGAGTTATAATGTTCTCTGTGTACTTGTGTGGGTCAATTAGCTCTAGTATGTGTGTATATAAAATAGGGATAAGCTTCTTGAGAGCAGAGACTGATATGATTATATAGTATGTGAAGTGCTGCATAAATTGATGGCACTATATAAATACCTGAAATAAATAATTTTTTCTTTTTTTTAGGGAGGAATGATGTAATCATAATATATTTTGTATCTTCTATTAGATACCAGGTTCTTGCCGTTGCAACTGATGCAGATTCAAAAAAGGAGACAGAACAGCAAAAAATAGCTTCTGGGAAGAGGCTGCTGGTAAGAATATGTACATTCTTAAACAGTAAAATGGTTATGTTTCTTTTTGGGAATCACCTCAGTCTTATAAGTTATAAAACAGTTTTTAGGACAATAATTGGAAAGTCACACAATCTACTTGATTTTTTTTCTTTATGCGTTCTGGATAATATGCTTAAAAAAATGGAACCTTTTTGCTGCAGTTTAATTGCTGTGGGCAGTGGCTCTTATTTGCCTTAAGCTAGCCATACATGTCTTTATTTTCTCTTGTTAAGCCCATGTTTACTCCATTTGTATGGGCCCACAAAGTCCCAAACATATGACAAATAGTTCTATTCCTGCCCAAACGAAGGGGTGGGGTGATATCACTTGATACTATAAACCTCCCTTCACCCATACCTCTTCTTCTTGCCTACCCCACCTCATTCCTACCCAAATACACCCATCCCACAAAAACTTCCTTTTTTTGTTCAAATACAACTAACACCAACACATCCGGTCCTCCTACTAACTGATGGGAAATTAGAACACACATTAGGTCACAACACCTACCATGCCTGTTACCCATTTAACCTCTTTCTACCTTGTTAAAGTACTTACCGAGGTTTGTGTACCATCCTCATATGATGCACGAATGTACAGTAAGTGAACATATGTCACTTGTCATTTATAATAGATACCGCGCTATGGATACTATTTCTAAATGAAATATACATAGATGAAAATTAGCTGCTGTGCTCTAAGTGTATTCAACAAATGAATTCACCCACAAAATATAATCCAAAGTGCACTGTGCTTAAATAAATAAACCAATAAATCCAAAAAGAATATAAGCATCAATAATATATACAGTCGACCCCCGCAAAGTCGCGGTTCAGAGTTTGCAGCCTCAGTCGTTTGCGGATTTTTCCCATATAGGGGTAACATCGGTATTTTACATTCTAACACTGTGGGAGACATAGCAATACAGTACTGTACAGTATATGGGTTTACCTTTACATTCTCTTTTTTTAAAGGTAATGTATTAAGCTAAGTTTGAAATTAAATTAAAGTGTTTTGGGGGCATATTTAGGGTTTAAACTATAAAAATAGGTATTTATAGGCATTTTTTGTACCACATTCAAAATTTGCGTTTTTTCACAATTCACGGGTGCTCTATGAACGTAACCCCCACAAAAAACAAAATACTCAATTAATACACTATATCACATAAAATCTCAAAGTGTCCATAAACTAGTGTCCAATGAATAAATTAGTGCTGTACATCATGTGATCTTAATAGTGCCAATACAGTGTAAATGAAAAATTCCAAAAAGTCTATTCAGTTAAATACATTTTTCCTTAAAGTGTCCAGAATTTACTAATTCTGGACACTAATTTATGAACACTTTTTTATGTGATATAGAGTATTAGTTGATAATTATTTAGTTTCAATTAGTATATATTATTGATGCTTATATTCTTTTTGGATTCATGTATTTGTTTATTTATTGAAGTGCAGTGCACTTTGGGATTATACGTCACTAGTAACCTACGCAGGTTTAAATTTAATACATATGTACTTTTAGTGAAAACAATAAATACAAATAAAATAAAGAATTACGAAATATTACGTTTTAATACAACTAGCGTAAAGTCCAGAGTCTGTCTTGATATCAGTCTCTTGTAATCCTCTGCATTCTGGAGCTGACAAAAAAACATACTGACAGGAAGATACTTTAGGTATGTAGAAGGATGAGCTAATCAGTCTGCTACTGCTTCTTCATCACCAGTCACAGGCTGAGGGTCGGAAGGTGACCTTGCCATATTGTTTATTTACAGTAGAGAAAAGATAGGTCACCAATGTGGCAATTCTATTCAGCAGGACTGAGTAAACAGATTGACATGGAAAGCAAAAGTGTGCGTTTCAGTTGTCTATTTGGTTGTTTCAACATTAAAATACCACTAGATTCAGGCCAGCAATAACTCTTGGTTTCAGTGAGGTGTCCATTGTGGGAAGCAGGGATAGGAGGGGACTGAGCTGGTGATAAATAAGGATTTATAAAAAAAGGCAACAGTTTCTTAAAAAAACCCAAACATGGAACAATGAACTGCCCATTTGATATAAAATTACTGTTTTCATGTATGAGGGATACTTGTGTTTGTAAACTGAACATGAAAATTATTATGAAATTAAATGCCTCACTCAGCATAGGGAATTCAGTCTTAAATGCACAGTGCAGTGCACAGTCTGGAAATTTTGTCAGATGATGCTCTATTTCAGAGCTGCTCAGAGATGCAACGAGTACTGGTGTGCTGGCGAAGACTGCAGTGACACTGCACTTGGTTATGTCACAGGGGACATGAGGAACTTTTCCCCTAAGCCCTGCCCTGGCCCTTAGGATAGGAATGCAAAATGTGCTTAGATGTACATCAATGCCTGTAATGAAATACCCCCCAACCGCATCTGACAGATCCAAAAGTTTTTCATGCCCGGGTGTAGCAAGCATTGGGAGATGAAGTTAGAGGCTGACCTGTTTCTAAACATTTTCAACATTAAAGCCTGCCACACATGTTAAAGTTTGATTGTATACCGTATATACTCGAGTATAAGCCGAGATTTTCAGCCCATTTTTTTGGCTGAAAAGTGCCCCCCTCGGCTTATACTCGAGTCAGCGTCAGGTGTCTTCTTACTTACCTCGCCGAGCATCGCGTCACTGCTGCTCCGGTGGGCGGCGCTCCGAGCGGGGTCATCTGGCAGTCTCCGGGTCCTAATTTAGGTGGCCGGAGACTGCCAGATGACCCATAAATGATCCATAGTACAGGGCTACATACAGATCATTTAATACATTCATGTTAGTATAATTGTAAATGGGGGGATTTATTAACCAATTATGTATTGTCTCTATATGGAGTATATACTGCTAATACAGTGCAGACAATACATTTACAATTATACTAACATGAATGTATTAAATGATCTGTATGTAGCCCTGTACTATGGATCATTTAACCCATTCATGTTAGCAGAGGATCATTGTAAATGTATTGTTGCAGGCACTCTATATGTACATGTACTATATACTACATATAGAATGCACTGAACAATAGATTTACAATTATCCTCTGCTAATATGAATGGGTTAAATGATCCGTAGTACATGATATGTAGCCCTGTACCCCCTTTTCCACTTACAGAGCTAGGTTATTTTTTTCTTTTAAATAAATATTCATGTAATTTTATTGGTATCTATCTACCATTAGCTACCTCATTTCCCACCCTCGGCTTATATTCGGGTCAATACTTTTTCCCAGTTTTTTGTGGTAAAATTAGGTACCTCGGCTTATATTCGGGACGGCTTATACTCGAGTATATACGGTAATCTCTTTTAGACGTACCATTAACATGTTAATGTAATTTAATTTTCAATTTTATAATATGCAACTTAAAAAAAAAAAAATATTTGGTAACCGTGCCGTAAACTTCTTTTATGAGGCATTTTACATTATAGTGTAACAACATTCTGTCTGTCTCCCGATTGCTGTCCTGCATTGTCACCCTGTCACATGTGCTTCCAGTGAAGACTATAAGTGGCCGTGCTAATGCTCACTTTGCAGGCATAGTCCATTGTTGTCATCATTAGGTAGCCCGCCCTGAGCAATGACATGCAGCCGTTGCAGGAGTGCATCCATGCAGACAGAAAGTAACTGCAAAGAGGTTGGACGAGGTTAGCAACACTGAGATGCAACAAAGTTTAAAAAAGAACTTCAGTGACATTTTTTTAAAACCCTTGCAGTGGGACTAGCTCCGCACTACCAGGGTTAGGTGATCATTTTTTGCTAGGGTCTAAAATAACAGTTGTACTCAGCCGATCCTTGGAACCGGCTTGCTCTAAGACCTGTTCCTTCTGCCTCGTTCCGCATTGATCCTGCGGACTAAGGTCCCGTGAGTCATTGCATCCTATACACTGTGTAGGACGTAAGGACCAAAGACACATACCATCGCTGCAGCAGAGGAGGAGACAGGCAGAGAGCGCTGTCACAGCCGGCCGACTCGGAGGATCCCATAAGTATATCTTTTAAACTTAGACAAAAATGAGCACTTAACCCTTGCATTGAGGGGGTAGCCCCACTGCAAGGGTTAAGAAAAAGTTTCCCTGGATACCTGTTTTAAAACATGTTACATGTTGTTTAACAAAAAAGCTATTGTACCACCATCAGTATATTCTACTTTAAGACTCCTAAAGCTGCATCGAGCTTCTAGTTGGGTGTATGGTAAATGATTCTCCCTGCAGGCGTGGTACATTTCTGTTGACACCAGTAGTGAGACAAGTCACGCTGAGGGAGGGCTTATAAAAAAATATATACAATGAAGATCAAACGTATTGTAGGATACTATTAATTTAATAGTGTTTACATTTGGTTTTATTTTCAGTATCATTGAAGAAAGCTTTGTTGCTAATTTTATTGCATAGAGGTAGCAAGTTGGCCTGTTGTTTGCACATCTGGTCTAATGACATGGTGCTTTGGGAACCACGTCATTCACAACTCCTGCAAGTTACACTTTTGCTATAAAGAGGAAATTCAGTTTATTCCACAGCAGACAAGAACACGTTTTCTTAAAATAGCATCTGCTGCGTATTTTTGCGTTGAATCCAAAGACCGTATATGATTTCTCGGTCGGTATTACTTTTCTATGGATATATATTTAATAGACTCTCTGAGGGTTGCTCACTAGCCGCAGCTGTTTTACAGACACACTGTGTCAGATAATTGCTTTAGAGCATATGGCAGAGAATACTTCATTCTAAGTTCTATCACGTTTATAAAACTCCCTTTGGTCATAAAAGAAACAATCTTGTTTTTTGTATTTTTCCCCCCTTCAAATTGATATAATATTCCCTTGCTCATCATATTAAAGTGAGTATGCATTACTGTCTCCTGCTTCATCACACTGGAGACTCTTTTATGTTCATATTGCTGGCGCTGTTTGGGATTTTCACCTAATCATAATATGGTCCCAACTTTTTATGTCTATTGCTTGATCTTTAGGTGAGCTTTCTATGCTTTAATGCAACAAGTATTGTGATGAGATAAAAATTCTATGCTTGTCACCAATGTCTCCTTCTTGAAATATTCCACAGTGATTTTAGGTTTACCAGAGCTTTGCAAAAACAGTTTAAATGTTATTTAAATGTTATTTCTAAGGTAACAGCCATAACTATATAGTCAATATTATTGACAGTCTGGATTAAAATGTGCTACAATGTAATGTTTTGCTTTATCATGGTATATGTTCTTTGTGTTTTCTAAATATACTTTAAATGTAATCTGTGGTTTGCCCATGCAGTTTAAAGCAACAGGTTTCCTTTTAAGCCGTACTTACCAGCAGCACATACTCACATTCCCTTTGCTTTCTCACCTGTCTGTTTAGCCGTGAAGAGTAAAAAAGATAGCCCTGTGTAAGTTTTAAATCATTGTAGTTAATGCTTATACAAAGAACATGTGAAAGTGCTGGGGCAATCACCAAATATCGGCAATGTCACGTGGAATAAAAAGAAAGGTGATCTCTTTCTTTTGCTGTTGGGAAATCTCACATCCATATTACATTATTGAATGAAAAACTTTTTGCAAATATATCAGACTCCATGGCAAAGTTACAGAAGATATGGTATACATTTATCTTGTGATGCCTACCCCCTGGTTTTGCTCCCCGCCTGTTAATACTTTAGGTTCCTACCATTTCCACCATTTCTTTACCCTACAACACCACAGTTTTTCAGGATTGCCCTACACCCGGGGCCATCTTTCTTTCTTTCTTTCTTTCTTTCTTTCTTTCTTTCTTTCTTTCTTTCTTTCTTTCTTTCTTTCTTTCTTTCTAGGAATTAAACACTCCTGGAAGTGTGGGTTTCTGAATAGACTTTGTAAAGAGATTTCTCCTCATCAGAACAGCATATCCCAAACATTTTAAGAGATGAGTTCACAACAGCTAAAGTGCCAAGGTTGCCTACCCCTGGCAACAACTGTAGTTTTGAACAGAGTCTCAGTATTTCTGTTGCTTCCTTGTTCCTTTTCTCTATTTGTCCTGGGAGCAATTATCGCTGGGACTGAAAGCTAGAGAAAATCCCATTTGTCACCAGAATAGGAATAGGGGGGGAATCTTCATAAGGCGACCCTTGTTTCGGTGACAACTGAGGGTCCATTCACAGCAGCCACAGTGCTGCATCGCACAGCAGCTAGTGTGTGGCTGATTTGGATAGTGAGCTGAATTGGAGAATTTTTCCATATCAGCTTGTTGTCCTAGATTGTTCACTTCTCCTGCCTTCTCCAAACTCTTCACCCTTTTGTGAATAACCCTGTCAATAAAAGTATTCCTGATTAAAGTTTTGTTTCTTATGACTCTGTAATTACAAAAGTTATTTGTGTGATTCTTCTTTCTTCCCTACAGACAGACTGGACTCTGAACATCGGTGAGCAGGCACTGGATATTAGTATTGTCTCCTTTAATAACACCGCTTTCTCAATATTTGTTCTTGGCGAAATAAATTTCTTCTGCCTCAAAGAGAACGGGCAAATCCGCTTCATGAAAAAACTTGAGTACAGTCCAAGCTGCTTCCTTCCATATTGTTCAGGTTAGTTCGAGCAATGAAACTCGATGTTTTACATTACATGGGTCTAGATGTTCACATTTATACATGGCATATTATGCTGTCTGCATACACTGTTCCCCCCTGATAATTTACAGACACGTTTGTTGGCACTGAATGAATGTAAATGAGGAAACAGTCCATTCAATCACTATGCACACCTCAAGGCTGCTATACATCCTTTTTAGCTGTATTAGATGGGTCAGTTGTTTGTATTTAACTCCAAATAAAGAGGCATTGGTCATAAAGTTTTAATAGCTGACCTGCTTAATAACACAGACTGCCCACAGCTTTGCTGATGGGCCATGAATGTGAAATGGAAGAGCTTTTGACTTCTACTTTTAGCCCAAACAAATCTGTAGCTATATTTATAGAATGATTAAGTTTTTTTTCCACAAGGAGCTTTATTTTCTCAGCATATTTTTATGAGCAGATGTACTGCATTGCCAAGTTAGAAGCCTTTATTGTGTATACTACTTTTATGAAAAGCCTGCGGTTATGTTTCCTTAATATGACTGCTGTTATTTCCTTTGTCTTGTACAAAACCAAAGTGTAATTTGTATCTGAAAACACTTTGGTGCAACTGTCTTCAGGCCTAAGGCATGCTCTGTTATTATAACTTATTTCCAAATGATGCTTTTAAAACCATTGTGATGAGATGTTGCACACATTATTTGAATGGTTACTTGAACAGAGGTGGCATATAATTAATTTCTAAATGCTGAGCTACTGCAAAACTCTATGAATGTAAATGTCAGCATATTCCTTCAGTTGTTCATGGTTCTTGTTTGATTTTCTTTTTTTTTTTAAAGTTTCTCCCGGTAAAACTGTAAAACACCCAATAGTTATATTCCTAACAAGACATACTATATTAACATTCACAACGTAATATGCTAAATATAGGACCTAAAAAAATCAAAATAATTACATGCTTTTGTGTATGTATGAATCACTAACAGTACCTCTACCCATAGGTGCCTGGGCACATCCTAATCACCCTGAGCGCAATACCAAAAATCTTAGCAGCAGCCCGGCAGACACATTGCCTCACATACATAGATGCAGTGGTATGGATGGGGCTCCAGGCTTCGTCTGCTATAATGTCAGCCCTGCCGCCTGTTTTCTCTGCTGTGCTCACTTCAGAGGCTGCTGGGGGCGCTTAGTTCACACTGTGGCCGGAGCTGTCACCCCTGCCGCCCACCCCCCCCTGTCCTCTGTAGCATGTCACACAGTAACTCCTCTTGCCCACTCTCTGGACCGTAGGAGGAGCCATTCTCACCTGTCCCTGCACTTCCTTCTGCTCCCTAGCTGCAGGTCTGTGTGTGTCTGTAAGTCTGTGTCTGTGTGTGTGCTCTCTGTGAGCTTTCTCTCTGTGAGCTTCACTGTCTTCTGAACCCCTTCAGCACATAGTGCCTACGTTATATTCTTTTATCTACTCTGCAAACTCTTTAGCCGCATTCACACCTGGTACAGAGATTCCCAGGTGTATTGCAAACAATTTTTTCTCCGTGTTTGCCGCTCATCCCCATTGATTTCAATGGGTCCATATACGCACAAGAAATGTGGCAAAGAAACTCATGTAGTAATATGCGCTGCACGTGTTCTGCGCTTTTTGCTTCTGCGTTTGTGTGCATTTTTACACGCACGAATGCAAAGCAAAAACGCTGTTCACGTTTGGGGTGCCGTTACACATAAATGGCTCCGCAAGCGTGTTGCACATTTTGCCACGTTTCCTCGAAAGCTTGACAATCGTAATGTGCAGGTATTAATGGGGGCTTGTATATAATTCTGCAAATAAGTAAAGAGAGATCATATTGCTATAAAGGTTTCTACACTGTCGAGCACAATTTCCCACCCAAATGGTGCATTTCTGCCACCTAATCCTATCCACATATATTTTATTTTGCACAACTGAACTACAACATTTTATTTAGGAATAATAAATTATTCACTTTTAGCAATTAAACACATTCTCAATTTCTATTTTTACGATAGGTAAACATTCTCCACTTAACTTTATTACTCTCCCTCCAAGATCCACCCCTTAAAAAAAGAAAAAAATAGCAAATATAATGGTTTGGCCATCATAGTGGCACAGGGCATTCCATACCCTCTAAACCAGCTTCCAAGAAAAAAGGCAGGGTAACGCCTGATATGGCTAAATAAAAATAAAGTACATTGGATCTATTACCTATAAATTTAATTAAGGGACACCGTAAAAAAAGTCCCCCATGTTTTCATCACCTGCTCATCAGACAAAACACTGTGAGGGGATTTTATCAAAACTGGAGCAGACCAAATCTGGAGTAGCTGTGGCGATGGTGGTGGGACTACATGTCTCAACATTAGCTTACATGGCTCTAAGGGCGAACTAGCATCATTATTGCTGAACTTTTGTGCGCACACCCTAATACAATAGGCTGCACGCACCTATGCCTATACCGCTGTATATTTAAAGCATCCAAAAGTTTCTTGAATACGTCAACACTCTCAGCTGATACCTCTAGCTGGGGAAGGGAGTTCCACAATTTTACTTCTCTAACAGTAAAGAATCCTCTTCACGGTTTGAGAATAAACCTTATTTCTCTCAATTTCAGGTGACGGCCTCTTGTCTTCTTGAGTGAACTTACAGTATACAGTTTATTACTGATCATCATCATTAGCAATTTGTACAGGACAATCATATCACCTCTGTTCCAGAGGGAACAAGTGTCATATTTGTAACATTGCTCATTGTAACATTGCTCATTGTTTAGGTCCTCCAGCCCCTTTATTAGTTTTGTTGTCCTTCTCTGGACTCTCCACCTCAAGAACATCCTTTCTGTGGATCGGTGACCAACATTAAACCGCATACTCAAGATGAGGCCGAACAAGTGTTTTGTAGAGTGGCAAAATTATTGATTGTCTCTCGAGTACATTCCTTTTTAATGTATGATAGTAGTCTGCTAGCTTTATTTGGTGCATTGGCTCTAAGACAGAACCCTGGGGCATACCACTTTCAAACCTAGACCATTTAAAAAAATGAGCCATTTATCGATACTCTCTGGGCACGTTCCTCTATCCATGCACACAGCATTTCATCAATGTCCATAGACTGCAGTTTGTATACTAAGCATTTATATGGAAACGTATATACAAAAAAACGAATGTACATGTGATCAAATGTCTTGGCAAAATCCAGATACACTAAATCAACTGACTTTGCTCCATCTAAATTTCTACTCGCGTCCTCATAGAACATTAATAGGTTGGTCTGACAAGAATGGTCTTTTTTAAATCCATGCTGGTTGTTAAATACAATAATGCTGGTTGTTGATAAAGCAATGCCCTGATGTATACCATCTGGTGCACTTGTTTTCATACATATAGTGCTGATGGTTTCTTCTGTCTTTTGAGGCCAAACATCAAATGCAGTTTTGATGTTCCCTGTACTCCCATGTTTTGGTCAGTATGCAGGCTTTTTTGCTGGAAGTATTTTCCTTTTGTACATTTAAACATAAACATATTCATATGTGTCATTTAGTTGGTTAATTGACATTTTATTTCCTGGTTTATAAAGGACTAATACTCCCTGCTGTCCAGTGTGTGTTTTTGTCCCCCTAGAATCTATTGTCTAGTGTGTTTATGTCCCCTTATTGCCTAGTATCTAGTTAGTAAATGCCTGTGACCTAGTGATTTAATTGAGTGCTTATTCTCTGGTAGTTGGTGAGTTTATGCTCCTTATTAACTGACGTAAAGTGTCTACTTACCTTTTCTACTCCACATTGTTCTGTCTTCTACTGCATGTAAGCAATATATTATTGTGTGAGTGTCATGCCATGCAGAAAGCAGAACTCCACATTCTTGAGAGAGCAGGATAAGGATGTGTAACTCCCTATATGACTTTAATGTGTATGTACACGTTATATTTATTTTTCAGTATGTTTAGCACCATGTCTCACTGTACACGTGTTTTATAAACAAATTATTTTTTGTGAATTTGGTGCAAACTTTCTTTCCTGGAGATCCTGTCACCGTGTTTGTACGCTCCTTCAGTTGGGCTTAGACTTAATAGTCCTAAAAATTACACAAAATACCTTTGCTGCTAATTATGTGGAATTAGAGAGACATGATAATTAATAACTGAAAGATGTTTTTACTGCCTTAACTTTACAACTGTTATTTTTTCAGAGCAAGTGTTGTTAGTGCATCCAGTGAATACAGCTGGTCAATGATGGGCTCTTCCGTTTACTTTTGGAAAGGCCTCATCAATGGGTATATAGCTGTCTATTGTAGCTGACAGTGTAAGTTGCCAGCTTTTTCCCACTAGCACCACCTAATGCCACTTTCAGATCCCTCCATGAATGTGTAGTGGAGCTTAGACACAGCTACCACCACCATCTTACGCTACAGGGACCATGGTCTAAGTGGCTTGTTGGCAGGCCAAGGTATTGTCAGGTATTGGACCATTAATCCATTTGCCAGTACCAAACTTCAAAAAAAGGATATATTTCCATATCTGGTTGTCCAGTGCTCTGGATAGCACTGGTGGAGCAGAAGCTGGATTAAAAGGTTGTTGTTGACAACTTATGCTATCAGTTATTAGATAAGGCTATTATTGTTAATAGAACGCAGGTTCACAGGAAGCAGACTTTATATTAAATTCTTATTGTGATGAGCAGTAGGTAAACATTTATATTCAGTGTGTTTTCCCTGACTATTGGCAAGGGAAAGACTTTCTTTCATCATTGTTATTTTTCATTTATGTAAACCTAGTTCAAGGTCTATAGGATTCATGCCCATCTATGTTGGTAAGCGACAACAGTTAAATGCTGTAGGATCACTCTGGGCACTTAATTTAGCATTTACCTTTGACACACGTTATATTAGGTCTGACAACTACTGATAAACTCTATCATAGTTTGAATATAAGAGCCTATAATGAGCAGAGTATATGCCGTTAGATTTGTATGCAGTTTCAGTTCCCCTTTGATAAGTGTTTGTGTATTGGATGTTTTTTGAATGAAGGAGAAATAGGAAAATTTGATGTCTCTGTCATGTTATACTTAGCAATTTTCTCACTACCTTTTCTTGTCATTCAACAGTGAGTGAAGGAACAATAAACTCTTTGGTCGGAAACCATAATAACATGCTGCTTGTGTACCAGGATGTGACACTAAAGTGGGCAGCGCAGCTTCCACATGTTCCTGTTGCGGTAAAAGTTGCCAACTTCCAGTAAGTGTCTTTGAAAAACCACATACTTTGTTTTACTATGGTTTTACTATGGTTTAAACAAGCGTTATGTCCCCACAGATATGGGATGAGAAAATGATGCCATTTTGCAACGTGCATTGGCATTTTAAATAGACTTTCTAATATTTTTGTTTGGCCAGTGGTACTCTTGTCAACTTTTACTATTTGCATTGTCCGACAGGTATGACTCACAGAATATATTACCAATCGTAATAGTAGCTCTGCATAGCATTTCTTTTTTAATTGCAGATTTGACTCAATTGTCAGTGTTTTTAACCTTTAAAAGTATTGGAGTAGCCTGTTGCTTAGCTTTGTTCTTGTATGTTCAGTGTCTAAGAAACCAGTAAATACATTCCGATTTAATTCAGTATACATACAAAGCAATCCCAACCTTGTCGCATGCTACATCACCAAATTTTTCTCAAAATATTGCCCAAGACATCCTTTCTGTTCCTCCCAAGACCTTCTGCTCTCTAGCTCACTTGTCACCTCCTTCCATGCTTTCCTGCGGGACTTCTACAGAGCCTCTGCCATTCTGTGAAACTTCCTACCCCAATCTGCCTGGCTATCTCGTACTCTGTCTGCCTTTAGGCAATGTCTGAAAACTCATCTTGTTAGGGAAGTCTATCCTGCCATCACCTAAAAACAGTACTCTTACTTTCTTCATTAGTTCAGCTAGATAATGACTTTTGAATCACTTCCCCATCCCTTTTAGATTATAAACTCCCATGAGCAGGGCCCTCCTAACCCTCTTGTATTGAAACTGTACTGTCTCCCATTAAAATAATAATAATAATAATAATAAGAAAAACATGTCCTGTTTACTCCTGTCATCTGCACATAATTGGTAAATGAGGAAATATTCACAAAATTATTTGTGTGAGCAGTCTCAATTCCTTTAGTAAATCAATCTCATTGTGTCTTCTGGTACTGGTAATTGTACATCACAATTGATGTTAGTTGTACTGTGAAGTAGCAATTTCCATTGTGAAAGTCAGATTTTTATACCTTGGTATAATCCTGATAAAGGAAATGCATGACTTCTAAAAAAACATTGGGGCTGATTAGCTGAATGAGTTTAGAATCTTTACTCAATAATATATTTATTTAATTTGTACACAATTGGGTATTCATTAGGGATGCACCGATACTAGTATCGATATCAGTGCTGATGCTGAGTATTTGGGCGAGTACTCGTACTCGCCCAAATGCTCCGATGCCTAGCCCGATACTATCAGGAAGCCGGGCAGCGGTTAATGACCCGCTGCCCAGCTTCCTGATTGCTTGGGAAGCTGGCCAATCAGGAAGCCGGGCAGCGGTTAATGACCCGCTGCCCAGCTTCCTGATTGCTTGGGAAGCTGGCCAATCAGGAAGCCGGGCACCGTGTAATGACGCAGCGCCCGGCATTCTGATTGGCCGGGAAGCATCTCATGACGAGGGAGCATGGAGCCGGCGTCCCGGTCAATCAGAAAGCAGGGTGCCGCGTCATTACACGGCGCCCGGCTTCCATGATTGTCCAGCAAGACGGCTCCGGCTGGATACCGGAGGAAAGCCGCCCCTGGCTGGAGAGGCCCGGGGGGTGACAGACTGGACATGCCGAGGTGAGAGGGGCCAGAGATCCGCACTGCAGAGACATTTCGGAATCTTATTTTTATTATTATGGGGATTCGTGTGGGGCGGCTTTCGTGTTAATCGGGAAGCCGGGTGGCGAGTCTTTACACGCTGCCCGGCTTTCTGGCTAATCAGGAAGCCAAGTGGCGAGACACCTCACGCCACCTGGCTTCCTGAATGGGACTTCCGGTACTTGGTAATTGGTATCAGCGAGTACCGTAAAAAAGTATCGGTACTCGGTACCAATATATCGGTATCAGTGCATCCCTAGTATTCATACTTAAAACACCTACAATTCAGTACTGAGTAAAGCTTCTTAACTGCTTTAGTAAATCAACTTTAGTGGTGCTTTTGAATTTTCAAGAAAGAATTCTGGTTTTATTGCATAAGAGTTTGTTATCTTCTTCTGGTTAAGCTTTCCTTTCTGTTGAGTAGCGTACTTGTACCATTTTGTTTTCTTCATATATTTCTCTCATCACAGATGTCATTTAAACATATATTTAAATGGAAAGGGTGGCAACTTTGCTGCATGGGCAAGGTTTTTATTTTTTGGGCTAATATTTGCATATTAGTAAAAATCCAGTTTGGATGAATATTAGAGTGCTTCATACATCTACTACCCAACTTGTCATTATGCTGGTCACAATTAAAATATGACTTCAATAGTGGTAGAGTTGGCACATTAGACTGTATAGTCTGACCTTTATAAAAGGCAGTTCATTTGGACACCAAGAAAAGAAAAGTTTAAATGGGCCATATTGGTGTGACATAACAAAGAAAAGAGGGCGAGGTGACAAAAGGTCTTTAGAATGAAGGCACTGTTGAGCGTTTGCATTCAATTGCAATAAGAATATTAATTCTCCCCTCCAGCCCATCTGCAGTTCCTCAATGTAACTGCCATCACCCTATCATTAAAGCATTAGGGCAGAACAAGAGAGGTTGGCTTTTTAATAATGGAAAATTGTGTTCTGCTATGATTTAATTTCAAGACAAACACGAACTCTCAACTTTAATTAACTGCAATGATTGGATTATGTTGTAGTATTTTAATTACATGGCAAGGCAGTTAATTCCCTATGTTCCTTGTTTTACTTTTTTATAAATGGATATTCATACTATTTAACCTGCTATGAACTGACCACTTTTCCTCATAATTGTCACCCCACCCAGATGTCCCAGAAATCCCTGCATAGTTTTAAGGGATCATGCATTTAAAAAAAATAATACTCCAATCAAGGATAATTAACCACTTGCTGTCCAGGTGTTTACACCCCTTTCCTGGCCAGGCCATTTTTCAGTATTTAGCGCTGCAGTACTTTGCCTGACATTTAATCCGTCATGCAATGCTGTACTAAAATACATTTTATACAATTTTTTTGGGGACAGATAGAGCTTTCTTTTGGGGGTATTTAGGTATTTATTCACCACTGGGATTTTTTTTTACTATATTAAGAACAAATTACAGAAAATTTTGAAAACAAAAAGTGTTTTTTTTTTTACATTATGTTATGAAACATTTATTATTACCCAATATCTTGGTAAAATATAAAAGATGGGGTCACGTCGGGTAAATAGACCAAATACATCAAGTCTTAAAATTGCGCGCACCTGCGAAATTGCAAAAACTACCATACCCAAAATTGACCATAGGTGAAGCTTATGTGTGCATGTATGGGTGGGGACTGTAATTTTTTTTCACTTACCGTTATTGTTATCGCATAGGGGGCTAAGAAACCCCTAATGTCACCTAGGGACCCCCAAAGAAGCTGATGAAGCAGAAATCGGCTTCATCAGCTTCTCTTCAGCTTCTGAAGCCGGAGAGTGACACAAGAATGCGTAAGTGATGTAATATACATCACTTCCTGCATTCTGACAACGGAGAGGGGATGGCAGGAGATCGTGTACCGACCTCCCTTTGATCCCCTGTCACAGAGCCACTATGCTGGTCCCGGGCACAGCGGAGGGGGCACTGCATGATCTGACGGGGACCAGCTGACGGGGGGGTGGGGGGCGCACGATCGGCACCTTATACAAGAGCCGGCAGATTGCCTGTATGTAAACAGGCATCGCTGCCTCTTTTTAAATTTGGGCAGTTTCCACTCGCGCGTGGTGCATGCGAGTGGGCGGGGCCAACAGGCCGTCTTTTTACAACAGCCGGTCGGAGGTGGTTAATCGGCTTCACTTTAGTATTACTTCAACATGGTAGTGTTTTCTGCTTAATAATTCATTCATTCATTATTTTAATACTCTAATCAAGGTTATTTGCTCGGTACCCTGTAGTTCAAAAAGTTGAAAGGAGCCAGCACTATTCCTTGATCAAAACATTACATTTATTTAACACATATAACGCAGAATAGAAAGTAGACATCCATGCAGGTGCGTTTTGTTCACTTGGAAAGGAATGCTGTTGTAAACCATTGTCTATGGTCTGGACAGCCTGGTGAGCCGATTACTGTGTTTCAGTGTTTGTACCATGTATTTTGAATGATGGTTCTACAGAAACATGTAAGTGTTGTTAAAAATTCACCTTTGCTAAACTAAAGCAAATTACTCTACATTTTAGACATTTGAATTTCTAGCCATGATACTAACCCTTCATATTATTTAGAGACATTTATTACTGTTTATAGGTTAACCGTGTTGGCAGGTTCTGAGAAGGAATCACATTCTTCATAAGAATGAATCACATTCTTTATAATGTTTTCATTTATCTTGATGCCATTGTATACATTTTTCATCACCCTATAAGCAGTTTTGGTGTGGATATGTTTCTGATGGCCACCAAGGCTGCTAATATACTTGCATGTGTTTGTTTTACTATAAATGCATAATATGTTCTCCAAATATTGTCCCAAAAAAAATCTGTAGTAATAGGGGATTTCCACGTCTTTCCAATGAATTAACTTATCCTTATAATACAATTTTACAAGACATCTCTTTGATCCTGTTCTCATACCTTGTGTCTACAGGTCTGCGCTGAGACGGCATTGAGTAACATACTGATTTTTAATTTGATTGGCCTCTTCACTGCAGTATACAATCTTTTACCCTAGACACATTTTATATATTCTTTATTTAGTTTAAAAATACAAACTGCAAGAAGAAAAACTTAGCCTAGACTGTGCCAATTAAATATCAGATGATTCACATAGTGGCTATCTATGCCAGAACTTACAAGTTTTATAACATCTCATATTTTAATTCCTTGCATTATATCAGTTAACAGTGGGCAGATTTTACCAGGGAAAATTTGAGATGAAAGAGAGATAATTAAGAGAAAGGGATATAGAACGGGCACCTGTCGGAGATAGACACAAATATCCCTAGGTTTATTAATACATCTGATTTGTTTAGTTCTGGGGGCTATTGGA